TCTCTCTCTCTCTCTCTCTCTCTCTCTCTCTCTCTCTCTCTCTCTCTCACACACACACACCCTGCCTTCCCCCATCCCACTAACACCCCCTCCCCCTCCCCCCCAGTGCGGGCAGTACCTCATTTTTTGTCTATTGCTTCCCTCTGACCGCTCACCCACTCATCTTTAACACACATCACTCCTGGGCATTTCTACCACACATTCCGTACACTTGCTCTGTTGCCTTCTTTACACAGCCTAACACCTACTCTCTTCTGTCACCCCAAAAAAAATTCCCTGGTTCATTCCACGGTTAGATGCCACTTGTATCCCCCTTGTCGCCCATACTCGTCCATTCTGCTAACCGACTTATCCTTAGGTTTCCCAGCCAGACCAGAGGTGATGGAACCGGTCCCGCTGATCATCTGCGATAAGGTCTAGCATGCCCTTTCTGCTGATGTCGGCCACCCCAGCAGGGCCCCAATCCCCAAGGGACCTCTCTGCTGACACACACAGTGCAGGGCGTCACTCTCAGAGTGAAATACTTTTACAGTCTGATGAGGGAGAGCACAAATGGAACCTACCAAGGAATAAAAGGAGGGGGGGGGGGGGGGGGGGGGGGGGGGAGGTTTTCATCACAACCTTTGAAGCCTGTGAAAGGTTGCTTAGATGGTTCAGGGTGCCTGACATGAGCAACATACCGCCGTTCTCCGCACCTTTGCACTCGAATAAAGGTGTGTTATTCGGCCGCACAAACTAGCCGTGCCTTTGGAGAGTCGGTTGATGTCCGACAAAGTTTCTTCGATTTATCGAGCGTCCTAGTACCAAGCAATCAGCAGTTCCTTGATGAATCGGCAAAAGCGCGACGAAGTTTCTTCAACCATATTGCTTGTTATTGTTCACCTGGTACACATCCAGAACAAAAGATCACAAAAAAAGAGTTTGGAAAACACAAAACGATGTCCTCGTCAAACCTTTACAGAGCACTTGATGCAATTCCAAAGTGGGTTCAGAGCACAATGCACATAAAGGCGACCAGATCCCAAGACAGTTGTTGGCCTCTCTCGGCCACTTAATTAACATGGGAAAGGGGGCTGAACATCCGTATGGGCCTCGGAAACAGTCAGCCCTCCCTCTCAGGAGTAATCAAAATGCTGTTCAGTGGTCCTCCTGGCTGTAACAAGAGGGAGAACGGTGGTGCCAATGAAATCTCTTACTTGCCAGGCACACAGGAACCTGACAGTAGCACTTTTGCCCAAATGCATCAGACTTCAATTACCGCCGAACCTGGATTCACATCCACGTCCAGAACAGCAGCCACATCCATTGGATGGGATCTTATCATCCACAGGTCAGTCGAAAAAGTCCTGGTGCGAGTAACCTCTCGACATAGGAAGGACGATGAGCAGAACAGCAGCCACATCCATTGGATGGGATCTTATCATCTTACCTCAGCAACATATTTGAAGCCGAGCCGGTTCGGTGAAAACCAACCGCGTTCATCTTGTTCTTCTACAGGGCTCGCGGCTGATTACAGAAGACCATGAAACCACATGGCCACCGAACACACACGACCGTGAAATCGCCAGTAAGTCAGAACACCCAAGTTACAATTGCAAAAATTTCCTACAGAAAATCTGAGTATTATATTCACTCAATTTCAATGTCATCTGCTGATTCTGTTCTTAAAAAAAAAAAAAAGAGATACATGGCTGCAGCCGCTGCACAAGATAATATGGACACGAAAGCCACAAGACCATGAAATCGCAGCCCACCATCCTTTGCTTATACAGTACATCCCATCTACACAGGGCATACTCACAGGATTTTTTTGGATGCATCTGATGACCATTACAGTCAAATTCAATTGAAAAAATGCGCCCTTGTGCGAATGAGGCAGCAAGCTGACAGTGAAGCAAGGTTGGATTAAAAATGGTCTAACTAGTAACCACTGTACAAAAATTCCTACCGCATAAGTTCTACACTTGGCATTGCAACTTTTTTAGTACAGAAAGAAGTCTTAGTATTATATTCAATGATCTGTGGTAGAAATTTGAGACGCACAAACAAACAAAAAAAAAAACATCGACATTCCAACAGGCCTCGCTCGGTTGGTCCACCCATGAACCGTCAACATCCACACCCAAGTACAAATCCAGACACAATCAAAATTATTCTGAAAAACCTGGGACGGGTCAGTTCAATGAACTTCAATCACCTTCAATGCTGACATCTGACGGTCATCGCCCTTCTTTTTTTTCCTTTTTTTTTCTTTTCTTAATTTAAAACAGGGCTTTATGGTCCTGGCTCCTATTCTGGGGAGCATCAGTACGGTTACTATTCCACCGGCAAGTCAGAATACACATTACATTGCAGCAGAAACGCACGCTTCCTTCCGTATGGCCGAAGGACCCCTGAACAGCATTGATTGCTCCACCGTTAGGAGGATTGACTGTCAGCTTGCCGTGTCTCACTCTTCCCTCTCAGACCTGAAAATCAGTTCTGCCAAATAATCCTGTGTCTCCTAGAAAGAGCTCGCCCATCATTTCTGCATACTTGTGTATTCCCCACTCAACTGTCCTGCCTGTGAATCGTGGCATCCCCTATCCCGTTAAGCCTGCCCCTTTCTTCTAACCGCTACTAAAACCCTTGACCCTAAACCCTCACCCTGTGGACCTTACGGTCCCTTCTAGGCTGGAAGTTAGGAATCTGTTCTGTTTGAGTGAAGGCCATCGCCCTTCTAGAGTACAAGAAAATGAAAAAGACGATATGAAGTTATGAACATAACGTGTCATTAACCTGCCATACATTACAATCCTGTTACCACCAGAAGGAAAGAAAGCTCTCTGTCCGGGCGACGGGCGCAGAAAAGGATGAGACATAATTAACAATATTGAATATTGACAGTACTCCATGATAACCGGCCGAACGCCCGGATGCGAAACGACCAGCAGATTCAGGCATTTGGATCCTGCAGCTTGTCCGGAAGCTGGGGGGGGGGACCTGAGGCGAGATTCTGGGTCCCGGACGCCCCGCCTCCCTTTTCTCTGGTGCGCAGTGCGTTTTGAGACTCGGAAAATGTACTGGTGCTTTAGGGAGATCAGACAGGCGATATCTTTCCTAATTCGGGATGCGAGAGGATGCACTCTGCCCTTGATAGCAAAACACGAACCGTAGGCATGTGATGGGCAAAGGCGCTGGGTTTGTGGAAAGTTGGAAACCCAGGTCAGTGTACTACCGTCTTCCCCCGAAAAAAAGCACCCTGATTTTCAACGTATACAGATGTCTTTCCAGAGCCCGATACAGTCATGAACAGGGTGCATTATTGTGTTCAAGGGAAGACAGTAATCCCAAAGGAACAATTTGAATGTTACATTCTGCATTACACACGAGCCATTCCAGGCCCAACGACAGGACCGAGGGGCTACCGAGGGCCCCGACACGGTAGTCCAGGCCGGTCCGACCCAAGACCGGACCCCTTCTTTTCCCACAGGCCGCCCCATAGGCCCTTGGACAGGCCCAGGCGGGGACCGGTCCAAGTGACATTACCGTTTGGGCCTGGCGGCCAACTTTGAGGCTGCCCTCCCCGGGTCTGATCTGAACCGCAGATCGGACGCGAAATCTGACGGTTCAGATCACGAGGCACTTTCTCATCCTCAAGGCCGAACCGGCCACCGCCGGTACTTAGGACCGACCGGTGGCCTGTTCAGGATCTTTTTCTGGGTCCACCGTCCGGAGGCACGGCAGCAGTTGAGGAGCAGCGCTGCGCTAATCTTGGGTTAGCGCCACTCCGAACGCAGCAGCGCTGATTAGCACTGACTGGCAGTTAGAGGTGGCGGACGGGCACTTACCGGCTTACCTGCGCAGCGCCATAGCTCCAGGTTGAAGCCAAGGGTCTTCGGCAGCTCCAAGGCGCCTCCTTGCACCTGCAGGTAAGGGCCCTGGTACGGCATCCGGGAGTGAGGACTCTCCTCCTCTCTGCTTCGCCATCTCCACCTCTCCTCTGCCCTCCTCGGATTCTTGTTCTCTTCTTCTTCTTCTTCAGACTGGAGACTACTGATACGAGTTGGACAGAGATCAGTGATTGGATTTCAGTGGTAGAAGGACTTGGTGCTTACCGGATCTGAGATATCGGGGGATATTTGGGATTGATACCTGGCGGCATCACAGATCAGACATCGGTTACATTAGGATTCTGCATCTCCGACATTGGTGCCTTATGTCAATGCCCTTTTGGGCTTTCACTATATCGGTGACATTCTGGATTCTATTGCGGTGACATCTGGTGTTGTCCCTATCTCCCACCTCCATCGTCTCACCTCCCCCATTCATCCGTGTATGGTTGTACGGGTCTGAAGTATCGTCTGTGTATGGCTTCAGACCCCACCATCTCACAATTATTTGTGTTGAGTGATGTCTGTGTGAGTTCAGTCTATGTGAGTCAGTCCATATCTCAGACTTCCGCTGCATACATGCGCATCCTATATTGGTTGATCTTTGGTTCTGCCCATACTTGGTGAATGTATTCACTAGTATGCAACATTGAATCACACTGGGTTCGGTCGACCTTGCCCATCAACAACATGATACGTTGAAAGCCGGGTATGGGCTGAGTCAATTTGCATGAAAGTGTCACTCAGTGGGGCCTACCGTTTGCCCCAAACGGTACCTGCTCATTGTGACTGTGCACCTAGGCAAGGAAAGTGGCTCATTCCTGAGGGCTGGAGGTGGACTCACACTAGCTGTATCTTTGATGTATCTAACCGTTTACAGGCGAACCTGGATGTGTCTGACCGCAATGGCGTCCATAAACAAGCAAAAAAACTCATAGTGCAAGTATGCCCTGAGCATTGCATTCGCAAGAAGATGGTAGTCTAAGAGAGGGTAAGTTGCCATAAACATTACTGGGACTCGACGCACCACACCAAATGTGAAAAAGACGAATCTATGGCGGGCGCATCTTTCCACACTCCAGTGGGAGATGCATTCGCATTTTGCACATTTGGTGAGTGGCGCGCCGAGGTCCATCGTCAAATAAGTCACCAACCAAACCCACATATACATGTCAAAAACGAACAATTCGTAGTAGTTTGAACAGTGTGTTCCCTTTCTTCTCCTTCTGATGGTTTCATAGTCTTCCTCACTGTTATCAAAACTATCTATCAAAATCGTCTACGAGACAGATCAGCATGTGGAATTGCCACAAGAAGGAAACGCCGCAATGCTCATTCCACAACCTTCATTCCAGCACGCTCCAGACTGTGTTGCTCTACCTTCTCCGCATTTCGTTTACTTCATACAGTCCATAATCGACAATCCCCTTTCTTCCTCTTCTTCCTCTTCTTCCTCTTCTTCCTCTTATCTTCCACTCCCATTCTCCATTAATTTTTTCCTTTTCGTACCGTTTCTCGATTCATGTGTGTCATCCTTGTGCAGGGGCCATTCTTTTTTCCCTTTTCGGACCGTTTCTCTGTGTCGTTTCAATTTTACTGGATGTCCCAAAGGCCACACATTCTCCGTTCTTCTCGCTCTTGTTTTCCTTCTTCTTCTTGTCCTAATGCTGCTCCGGGTGCAGCATCTTTTTTTTTTCCCTTTCTTTTTCCATTTTTTTTTGGGGGGGTGGGGGGGGTGGGTGGATGGAGGGGGATTGCGTGGGTGGGGGCCGCATCCTCATTGCCCTCTTTCTTGAATATGTTTTTCTTCAACAGCCATTCTCAGTCAGCAGGAAGGGAACAGAGAAGTAACCTTCCTGCTTTCTGCCTGAATGTTCTCACACACATGGACCTGCTAATAAACAGAACATGGGTTCAAAATTCAAATCCGGATGTGGGAACATTAATAAATACAGCATGCCCCCTCCCCTCCCTTCCCCCCCCCCCCTCTCTTCATTATTTGCAAAGAAAAGGGCTAGTAAACCCTGAACCCATACGAGAAGGGAGTCGTTTGGGAACAAAAAAAAGAAGGGATAGAGTGTTACCCAAAAGAGGAGGAACATTACGATGAAGATGATGTGACTGACGGTAGAACAATGCCCAGAAGGCAGTTGGGCGGTTCTTGAGGGGCCCGGAGCATATGACAGATCTCCAAAGACCATGGCATTATGTACAGCATCCTTGGCCACAGCCTCTCTACGCCGCTGTGTGAAACCAGCGCAGGTATCTTCACAACGCCTGCTCTGTCCCTCTGTCGTAAGTAAGAGGCAAACTGTAGGAACTGCATGCCGCCAGAACAGGAAACAAAATGGAATCAGTACAAAAAGAAGACAAGACAGCAAGCCAACTTCCACGTACCGCTAAAAAAGGAAATGCCAAAGATGGCAAGATGGATTACCTAAAAAAAAGCACACATCTTTGCCAGGCTGAATAGGGGAAAGGGAATAGGAATACAGCATATGCATGACATAAAACAAGCAACTGCGGTACGTATGGCACAAACTGCCTCATGTGTCCACGCTACGCTTCTACAACGTACGGCAAGCAACTGCAGTAGGTATGGCACAAACTGCCGCATGTGTACACACTACCCTCCTGCAATGCACAGTCATTATAGCTGTATCTGACCTGACTGTTGCCCTAAATACAGTTGTAAGGACTGCATGTGTTCAACAAAAGGACTTGAAAAGAATCAGCTTCTTGCAATCAAAGAATGCACTCACAGCAGCAGGACCACTGCAGCGCTAGCCGGACTCGAATCCACAAAAGGCGCGCGAAGCGCCGCCACGATGTTTGTATCTAACCGTTTACAGGTGAACTTGCACAAGAGTTTTTTAACTTGTTTATGGATGGCATTGCGGTCAGATACATCCAGGTTCGCCTGCGAGTTGACAGATTTGCCCATGATAAAAGACGGCGCAGAGATCATCACAAAACAATAATAGCAAGTTCTATTTCCATGGCGCTAGATGGCAAGATGAACTGGGATGTTATTACTGTTTTTCTGCAGTATAACGGCCACAACGCATTTGCAGTGGTTGTGGAAAACCATCACATTTTCGATGTGGATTATAAACTTCGAAGTCATCAATCTGCTATCAGTCCCACTGATATGCAGATGAAGTACACCTTGAAATTGTTTCAGGTAAACGGACATACGCACCTCGTGCTACCCTAATGTTTTATGCAGTAATACGGTAATACCTGCTAATGCCCTGCCAACCAGGCCAGATGGGTAGAAGCACACTATATGCAGATAGCGCCTACGCAGGGCCCGTGTTACCTAGCTGGACCCTGAAAGGGGGCCTGCAATGCCTGCCATTACTAACATACTACCGTCTTCGCCTGAATACAATGTACGGTCATTATTGGTGTATCTCGACTCATTGTTGCCCCAAATACAGCTATAATAACCGTACGTTGTATTCAGGTGAAGACGGTCATCACCGATACCGACCTTCTCCGTGCTTCAAACCGCAGTTGTTTCCCAGTTCCACTGCATGGTTTGCCCACATGATTTCCCTACTGGTTTTAGTTAGGCCATGAACGCTAAATACAAAAATAGCATTCTTGCTTGCAGGGAGTTGTCGTGTCCTTGTGCCTTCGCAGTCATCCTCTTGTGCCCTCCATCTCTGCTTCCCCATCTGTCTTTGCCATCACCATCCGTCTCCTTTCACTCTCACACGTGCTCGTTCGCACACAAAACACACACACACACACACACAAACAAAACACACACAAAAACACACAACATCATGATTGCATACCCTGACGGTCCGCGGCCCTTGACTCGTCAGATGCCAACCAGCCAACCGGTTGGCTTGTCGGCACCTACCGGTCAGGGGACGTTGGCACCCTGCAAAAAAAAGAAAAAAGGAAGGGGTCCAGAACCCCTAATAACCCCACCACCCCCATACCCAACCCCAATAACCCCATACACCCCCCCAACACCCCCAAACAGCCCCCCAACACCATCATACCCCCCCCGATACCCCCTATACCACCCCTATATCTCCCTATACCCCTCCCCTATACTCCCCCCCCATACCCCCACCCCATACCCCCCCTCATCCCCAAAAGTTTCTCACCGGATTTGGGCTGTACTCAGCAAGCGCAGTACAGCCCCCAACTCAGATTTGAAAAGAAAAAAGTGGATGGCTGTTTTCTAAATGGTTGGCAGACAGCCGACCGGCCGGCCCTGCTGGTCGGCTGCAATACGGTCAGCGGTCGGGGGAGGCGGGTATAACCATGCACAAAATGCATACACCATATAAGCTGTACAATGCCTATTTCAAAATCAGAGTTCAAATGGAGCAGACGCAACTGAAGTAGTAGCGGAAAAAGAGGGTGTGGAAAGTCTGGTGGATAGCACACAGATGTTAGTAGAAAAACGAAATATATGTTCAAGTTCTGTTTTAGCTTCCAAGATGCATCTGTGCTGGATTGCACTTTTGTTAAGAAGAAGAAAGAAATGAATCACTCACCAAACCCCACAGTTAGTGAGTGACTGCAAGCCCCTCACCGCACAGTTGACGCTGTCGTACCAAATACCCTTACAAGGGTATTTCGCGTGCTTTTTGCAAGTCACACACGGTGCGGCGTTGTTCGCAGTTGATGACGTCCTTCCTAGCCGAGGCGCGGCCGCCGCTGCGGTTGCCGAGTTCGGAACTGGAGCAAGCCGGTGTGTGGACAAGTGGCGTGCCGGCGCTCGCCTGTTTGGCCGCGGATGCGGGCGGCGGACCGCGTGCTCGTGGAAAGAAGTTGGCTTTTCACCTTTACCGCGCGGCGTGCCCAGTGTGTCAAGCGGCCGGCGCGTTAGGGGTGTGCGGCACCTAAGACCCGGGGGTCATACCACCAGAGCAGAGGGTGATATGCCGGCAACGAGCATAGCCCAGGCCCCTTCACCACGTGCACAGGAATTTTCCGACCGAGGGGTTCGAATGGTAGGCCTAGGTGTGGCCTCCGTACATTTTGCAGACCCGGGCGTGGTGCTAGTCCCAGACTTGGGCCTAGCTGTATTGGTTACATTGTTTGTCTGTTACTACAGAAGTGCGGGGATCAAGACCAACTGCTGGCAGCGATGGAGCTCTGCGCCCATAGTCAAAGGGCGCTTGGCCACCACAAAGCGTTGAAGTCCGCCTACCGCTCCTCTCAGCAGTGTGCAGAAGAGGGTAGGACTCGCAATCGCCACACGAGATTAACCTCTTAAGATGCATGTGGGTACCGCGTGGTTGTGGGTACCACATAGTACGCTGTCATTGTGACTGCTTCGTATTCATCCATAGCTAGTCGATATGATAAAGCTGGCGGCACCGAGCTATTTATTCAGAGGCTCGCGCGCGTCCCCGTTTATTCTGTCGACAAAAGTTTATGGGTTGAAAGTGAATAAGGGACTAGGCTCGATTTACGTATGAAGCTTGGATTTTATTTTTGGGAAGTGTACTGCGTGGTTAGATTGGTCGTCCTAGTCGGCCGGTGTAGGATCGTTTTCAGGAGACCAGCACCTCCGGCAACGATGCACACATGGGTCCAATTCGGGCGTTAACTGCACGCACCTCCTATGCTACAGCTAACGAGAAACGCCCTCGGCTGGGCCACCTCTGGTTCCGTAGCTCAATGGAGATATGCCCACCTAAGGGATGGTGACATCTCCCACGGGTGGAGGTAAGTTGTACCTTGTGTGGCCCCATGCTTTCGCAGGGGTTCGCGAGAGGTACGGCTGGTGCACTCGGCCGGAGTGGCAAGGCTCTGCGACAAAATCCTGCTTGGCGCGGCTGGGAGGGTCCCCCGGCTGGACCGATGCGCTCAACAACGCAATTTGTGAATGACTGCAAAAGCGCAATCCTTGGAGCACCTATGTGTTTGAAGGAGTTGACATCGTAAGGAGGTGTTCTAGGACCCTCACCGGTCAGATTCTGGGTCTTTACGGGGAGAGGGTTAAGTGAAATTCGCCTGGCGGACTGCGACACATCGTAGCGGCATTAAACAACCTGGATTTTGCAATAGTGGAGGAGGAAATAAGGTTGGATTAGGCAGCAAACTCGGTGTACACTGTTCTTGGCTCGCGTGTAGTGGGAGTGAATCTGTGATTACACAAAGCTTGATACTCGTCTGATGTCATTCCAACTATGATTACATTATCCACCCTGCTCGATACTCTCAAAAGAGCCATTTCAGTCCCTCTTAACAAAGCTCATGTTTACACAACGCTGAATATAAACATATCAACCTGTTCTATGCTACTGGCCCAGGAACCGACCTGCTGGCATGCACAAGTCCACTGCCCTTCATTCCGCAAACCATATGAGGCGTTTGCGGTTCTGACAACCTCATATGAGGCGTCCGGCTTTTTTTTTAAGAACCAAAACACTCACCCAGGCCCCACCTATTCTTGGGGGCGGCATTCCGGTTGCTTATCACCGGCAAGCATGAATAAAGACCACGAAGAGATGGACGAGCAGCTCTGCCCAGGTCCTAGCCGCCCAGGGCAGTGGGCCGTTTTTGCTTCACAGCGGGGGGTAGTGTAACTTTCCCCGACTCGGATTCCTCTAGCAGGGAGATTGTGGCATACTGCGCAGCCACACGGGCCTGCAGGGCCCGACCAGCGTTTTCAGCCTAAAAGCCTGAAAACAAGGGCCTACAGGCCCTCTGTCGTTTTCAGCCTAAAATCCTGAAAACAAGGGCCTACAGGCCCTGTGTCGTTTTCAGCCTGAAAGCCTGCCCTATGTCGTTTCAGCCTAAAACAGGGCCCTCCAGGCCCTGAGTCTTTTCAGCTTGAAACGGAGGGCCCTGATCCACCTGCCCTGAAACTTAGGCACCAGACCAGGGTTTTAGCACAGGCCATTTTTGGCCTGTTTTCAAGACAACCCTTGTTTGAACTTCAACGCCAGGGTTTGGCACGTTTTGGCATTGGCAAGAGCAGCCTCCTGGACGGCCCAGCACTATGTAAGACTGGCCCGCCCTACAGGCTGCAGACAGTCACGAGGTAGTTCATAGGAACTTCCCAGGCACTTCACGTGCGGGAGGCAGGAGGCAGTTTTCAGGATTCGGCAGCAGCACTCTGGAGGAGCGCTGCAGTAGTAGTAGTAGTGTTAGCAGTGGTCTTCAACGCTGGGCACTATCAGGAGCTAGAGTAGTAGTGGAGAGAGAGGCCAGGGAGACTTACCTGTGGCGCGATAGCTCCAGCTTCGTCTTCGATGTACCTGCAACAAGGCGTCACCTTCACAGGTCAGTACCAGACTGAGAGAGAGAGAGAGAGAGTTCTCCTTTTTCCTCTTGTAA